GGAATCAACTTCTTACAGGACACAAACTTTCCTTGAAAAGGGGGGCCCAGTTTTGCTCTGAGTTTCAGGACAGCATGGTCCCAAATTTGTCAATTTTCACTTGGAGAAGTGCAGTCACGGATTTCTCGTCCTGCCGAAGGTGCCTGAACGAATTGAGGGGATAAAGGACTTATTCATCAGAGAAAAAAATAAATTTACATACCTAACCAGTCGATAGTAACCTCACTTTCAAAAATCTTCACAAAAATCAACAATCGGTTGATTTTCCAGGAAACTTTCTAGTAGACACGAGCGAGCACTCTTCTGACTAGTTATTCGGTAAGAATATTGACTCGATGGCCAAAAATAAAGGTAAAGTTTTAGGATTTTTAATCACTTCCAAAAATCTGGACGACCTGTTCGGTTCCAAAACAAAAGAGAATAGGGCAAGTCAAAAGTACCCAAATTGGTTCTGTCTTTGTCTGTCAAGCTTGTCAAAATCATAAAAATGACAGCGCTACAGGTGGCTCGGAAAGAACAGAATTCTCGATATTAGGTTAGGAAGACTAGTCAGAAGAATCATAGATGTCGCTAGGTGTAAGAAATAGTACTTTTACATGAGTCCAAAATATATAAAAGTAATTCAGAACAATAAATATATTTTTGTAACATTTCGAATGTTACAAGTCGGAGCGGTGCAGCTTTCAGTGTGGTAGGCGCGCACAGTGTAGGAAATTATGGCACTTTCAATTTGACCTAAAGTGCGTCACCGAGTTTCGCGTGCATTGCTCTCCTGGCGCAGCGTGCATCAAATGGAAATCGCCGACGCCAATGGCAGTAATTTAAACGAACCTACATGGTGGTTGACTGGACGGTGGTATAGTGTATAACTATGATACGTTGGCGTTGACAATAAAAAGAAAAAGCAAAATTATAAGAACGTGTAAAAATATTCTGTAATTATAAAATACTACATGTGGAAATTTTAAAGTCTTGTGTAAAAATTTAAAATATTCGTCCACCGTTATATACGCCACTGCCAACAGGGTTCTGGGAAGGGGTAGGCAATGAACTGGGGTAGGCAGATAACGGGTTCGCGTGAGTACGGTTACTGTACATATTTATATTATATGTGTTCTTTGTCTGCACGCAGAAATATTTACCTGCGAGACTCTCGCACGACACACGAGACGTCTCGCACGAGATTCGAGAGAAACTTGGTCTTCTCTCGTCTCATCTTCTCCGAGACAGTCCGAGTATCGTCTCGAAAACGAGACTCTCGTGGGAATCACTAACTAAACTTAGTACAGTGAGAATCATTCCAATTGGCACACGCTATAAATATCCCCCGTAATGTGTCAACAGTTTACTTCTTTGACGCACAGGTAATGTCAAAATCGTGTCAGATTGATAAATCAGTGATGAACATAATATTTTCAATCGAGGTTTAATAAACTCTAAAAGGAAAAAAATATTTGTACACCGCTGCACTAAATAGATTTATTGGTTAAAATTTTGACCTAATAGGAGGGATGTTAAAAGAGTATAGTTTGTGCCAATTACAATGATTTCCACCATCCATTTTCAAACTTACTCCCTTTGGGTTTTGGTCAGAAAGTTTTATGTTTCACCTGAATGTTTTTAAAATTTAATATAGTATACAAAAACTGTGCGAAGTTCTGTTGCTTCTGCACCTAATTATACTTGAGATTATTTGATATCTAATACCAATGGGGTAGTATACAAGTGATTTTTAACTACTACCTAGTGATATACTCGACGTATCGTACTATTTAGTGTAATCAGTTGCTTTGTAAAAACCGCAATAGCCTGGAAATTTATTTTCAAAATTTCCCCTTAGCCCTGCCCCTACGTGAAAATAAAAGTTCGTGACTTAGTTAGTTTTTCGAATCTGGCAACACATCACGGTTTTGAGAACGCACAATTTGCACTGACATTGACTGTCAAGAACGAAACATCAAATTTACTACATCAAACAACGTAAACAAGTCTATGACAATGTCACATATCACACGATTCACACGACACCACACGTCGTTGAACTGTTGAAGTCAGCTGTCATTTTGAGCAGCGTTGCCAGATGGTCAGCGGCATGAATACTATTGGTCGCCGCTGTGGCGCTAAATTCAAATTACAGTTTGTTTTTCTCTGACTAATTCTATAGACACTATGCTGGAAAATAATTTAGTATCCCACTATACCATCACCATTTAGCCTATAGAATAATGTCGAGCAGTTTTTTCATTGATTTTTATACATAGTATACTACCCCATACGGAGCTATGTAAAATAGCAATCACTAATTGAAAGAATAGCAGCAACAGCTTTCATTTTCTTTTACTCAGATTTAAGTCCCTAATCTATTATTATTTGACCTGTAGACAGTTACTATTATTATTTAATGTAGAGAAACCAAAAACCAAATACATTTAACATAACCTTAAAAACCAGCTTTTGTTCATTCATATTTCTGTGGTTGTTAATTTTGAAAATGGCATCAAAAATTAGGGATAAAAATTGCAAACTCTTAAACCGCTATAATGTATATCAGCAATAAACTTGCGCGCAGAAAACTTGCAGGGAGAAAAATAGTAAGCTCTGATTCGGCCTTTTAAGTTAATTTTGTTCTACTTCATAATTATAAATACGAATTTACTTTCTTTCTGCTATTACCCTTATATTTTACTTTGAATTGCACATGCATGCATTTTTTTATTAAATTTTTTCAAATAGCCTACAATTTACTAATTTAATTATTTTCATTAATGGGTCAATTAATTGGGTTTGCTTTTTTTTTAAATTTAATTGAATCTATTGATTCATTGTGGATAATTATTATGGATCACTAATGAGTAGGTACTAATCAACCGACTTTAAATTTATATATAGGTATATATATTTTTCATACATTCAAATTTTTGAATTTATCAAATTATTGTAGCTCGTGAATTAAATTGATTGGTTTGGTCCTATGTACCTCGGCATAACTTAATTTCCATTGGTGTTATTTTGTTAACAAGTTGGTTAGGATTTCGAGAAACAGACAAGAACCTCGAGAAACAGGAAAGAACCTGGAGAATCTGACTTTTCTCTCCGTACTCCCCGGATTGTTTTATTTTGAGCTAGGGCATAATTTTCACTCACCAGACTCTCAGGCCGGTATTCTCAGTTGTATATTTTCTCGTTTTATTCAAAAAACTATTTTTTAATTAGTATCCTTAGAAATTTTATCCTAGCAACAATTAAATAAATACCTAAGGCATTGTCTATAGAATTTGCAATTATTCAAAATACAATTTGCTTCAAAAGAGAAGCCTCTACTCTGGAAAGAGAATGAAAGGAACGAAAGCATGGGATTGACACTGACTTGGACGAACTATTGTTCTATATTTAGCTTTATTTAATAACTGACATGCATTACATTTCAGTCGTCTAGATAATTTGAAAGGGATAGCAATTATATTTCTGAAGGACGCATAGTGGTTACACGTTTTTTCCTTATTAGATATTCGAAATATATCTAATACTTCCAGAGATTTTTTTTTTTAATGGATTAACAATATGTTTTCTCGATTAATTTACAAGAAAAAAAAAACATATACAGCGTGTTTGTTTCAAAACTTTTCATAAGAACAATATTGAAGACAGGAAACATTTCTGAACTACGGTTTTATCCTTCCAACTCAAAGCCACTGCCACAAAAATTTTGAAATAGAATGCATCGAAAAAATGGCAAAGTCGTCCCGAGGTGTTCTCACAAAAGTCCCTGACAGTTTGCAAACTGTCAGTAAGAATAACTGTCAGTAAGAATCGCTCAGCTAAGTTACTGATTTATCTTGGAACGACGGTATTGAAAACATGCATGGGCAATGCATTCTGACAGTTTGCAAACTGTCAGAAGTTCTTGTCAGAACAGACCCCCAGTGATCCACCCACCATCAGAAAGAACTTTATTGGACTTTTCCATATTTTTTGCCAAAAAATGGAAATTTTTCGCCGCCTTACATTCACACCCTGCATAACGGGAAGAAATTTTCGAAAAAATTTCCGACGAAACTGACGCATAGACCAAACATGGCGCTTTCTAACACTGGCTGGAAATCCAAGATCGGCAAAGAAATGTCGAAGTTATAGCAAGTCAAAATTAGGCAATTTTTCGGGTGTCCCACTTTCTCTGCCGTTTAGTTTATCACGCAATTAAATATACCATACCTACTTCAAGGAGATATTCAATTCTACTACCCTTTGAAATTATAGTTCATTAATTAGGTACTATGGATTAAAAGGGGCGAGGTAATTCCGAAATAAAAAGTTTCCCAACTCAACAATATTGATATCCTAGTGATTCTACTTTTTTTACAATTCTGCATTGAATAAGTGTGAAAACTTTCTAAATGAACACCCAGTATGTAGGTATGTTTGTAAACATGAGTATTCAATGCGAAAAATTCATTTTGTTACATAATATTATCATTCTGCTAAGCAAAATAAATAAATTTAATATTCTCTAGATAATATAAGTTCAGCCAATCCATCTTAACAAAACATGACAATTTATTTAACGTATTTCGTATTCAAGAAAACATGTAGTGTTGCTTAAAAAGTTAAATATATTATACTTTAGGGCGTAATTTTAACTTTCAGCGCAACTTTTTAGAGGTCTAACTTTTGTTCAAGATAAAGCTATTCTTTTTAAGGTCTTTTATCCAAGGAGTCAGTGTTGTCGTTTCAATTTTATTTCAAATTTTCAGCAAATGGAATATTTCATCCATGCCATTTTATTAACTGTTAACTTCAGCTACAAGATGTATTTTATTAAACTACTACAAACAATATATAATGCCACTTTAGGTTAATTGTTCTAATTTGGTATTACAATTTTCACTTCTTCTAACGTCTGTAGAAACTGATACTTTCCGTTTCTGTTGATTGTAATTCTGGTATAGGTACCCTACCTACTAGATCTACACAGGAATGAAAGCAACAAAAAATTCACTTACTTTCTCGATGAAGTTGACTTCGAACTTCAGTTGGTTTAGATATCGTTGTGGGCATTGGAATTTCTGAAACAAATATTTCATATTTAAGTATAAGCAGTTTTTGAAAATTTCAATTTGTCGGTAGAGACACTACAGATATATGAAGATAAATATAAAAGGCGACGATAGAAGACTTTAGGAAAACTTTTTTGTTCTGAATCGTAATCTACAGCTGTTCATTTCAGACACAAAACTTTTACGATCGGTTATCAATATTCACTGCAAAAACTTTCGTTAACAGATTAACCATATATTAGAAAGTTTCAAAAGTTTCCAGAAAGGGAAGGAAGTTTGCAATTTATATTTTATGGAGACGGACGTTTGTAATGTAAAGGATCTTTCGGAATCTCTTATAAATTAAAAAACATCGAACCTTTTCGTATTTGTAAAAGTGACATCAATTGTTAATGTGAGTTAGGGCCCTTGTAGAATTTTCTTTACTGGTTTTGGGAAAGAATATTCCTGGGATTATTATAGAAAAAATAAATCTATATGGTTTCAAGCAAAAACTCAAATTTTCTAATCAACGATTTTATCTATTGCCTGTTATAATCGGGTAGTATTTTTTACTTCGTGTAACCAGTGTGTTTCTATCGACGTAAACCTAGAACGGTTATTTATACTATACTTAGGCTCGGTTTATTCATCTTTCGATAAACTTGCTGGTAACTGTCTACAGGTCAAATATTCCAAACTAGTTGACCGGCCGACCAATGGCATTATAGAAAGCGTTCTTATCCGTCATATTGCATAAACTGATAGTTTATTAGAAGGTGAATAAACTAGGCCGCATGTAGGCAGAACGTATAACGGCTGAGCAATAGGCGTTTAAAGTCGAGAGCTGATTGGCTATTGCTGATATGGTGTACGTTATGCCCGCACCAGTTAGGTAGAACGTACAACGACTTAGCAATAGGCGTTTAAAGTCGAGTGCTGATTGGCTTTTGCTAATACGATGTACCTTATGCCTGCACTATTTAGGCAAAACGTACAACGAACTAGCAATGGGCGTTTTCTACGGAATTGTATTTGCCTATTTCTGCATTCGACATTTGGCAAATGACGAGATTAAATTCAGGCATATAAAAACAGCATCATTTACAAGTGAGTGATGAATGAGTGATATCAAGCAAATTGAATCAATAATAATCAAGAATGTGCAGACTTACGAAAATTAACCCAAAATAACCCGTCCGCCTATGGTGCTATTCAGTTATCGTGAGATAGCATAGACGGGTAAAACCAACAAAACATGCCTAATCGAACCCATACGTTATTTTGACGTTTTTCCTGTTTTTCACACGTTGATATTCATAATTGGTTTGGTTTTACGTTAGACATTCAACCCTTGGATTTTGGTGTAAAACACAACGGTAAAAGTTAATTTTACAAATATGTGAAAGAAAACTTCACAAATACGTGAAAGTTAAAGTAGAAAAAAGTAAAAGTTGCAATTTTGGTTCTTTATAACGGTTTATTACCTTTCTACATTGAACGTTTTTGAAACGTGCCTTCTGGTCTATATGTTTTGTAAATTATTTAATCTAGCGTTTATCCAACTTTTGCATTACACCTATTTTAATACCTACTAAAAATTGAAAATTTCAATTAGAGCGATAGAATTTAGGATTCTTTATACGTTTTCCTTGCCGTTTCCATTTAATGCGATTTTACGTTGGGTGAATTTTTTTCAAAATTTTCATCCTAACTTCTTTCTCGTTTCGGTTTCACTTTTTCAATCATCTGTATCCCCGGCAATAGCCAATTACCGCTAGGCTTTAAAGGCTTATGGCTAGTCCGCTGTACGTTTTGAAATGGTGCGGGAAAAAGAAACACCGTTTAGCAACAGCCAATCAGAGGTCAACTTTTAACGCCTATTGCTAAGCCGTTGTACAGGGTATTTGATTATATTTGGACCCATACCTACAGCCTTTACTATTTTAGAAAGAAAAAAAATTTAAATGCACAATATGACAGTTTTTTTTATATTTTCTTTAAACGTTATCAGAAAAAACAAAATCGCATCGGAAAATGGAGAAACGTAGACAACTTCGACTTTTTTTAATGAAACACCCTGTATATTTTACGATAAAATGAAAGATCTTTTCTTCCTTATTCCAAAAATATATATAGTGATCACATTTGAGTTAGCCGTTTTTGACATATTTTAGCTTAAAGTATAAATAATTTGTAAAGAAATTTCATAAGGATATCAAGACATTTAAATCTTTATAAAATTTCTTTGGATTTTATTTATAATTTAAGCTGAGATATATCAAAATGGCCCAACCAAATGTGATCAATATATATATATTTGGAATGAGGAAGAAAAGATCTTTCCTTTTATCGCATAATATACAGGGTGTTCCATTAAAAAAAGTCCGATGCGATTTTGTTTTTTCTGATACTGTTAAAAGAAAATATAGAAAAAAACTATCAAGTTTTGTATTTAAATTTTTTTTCTATCTTAAATAGTAAAGGCTGTAGGTAAGGGTCCAAATATAATCAGTACGTTCTGCCTATATGCAAACGGCCAAAATTTTTGTTATTTCTATATTTGTGAACATTCAACAAGTTTGCTATAAAATGTTAGCTCCTAGCTAAAACCTACTTATAAACTACAAATACTTAACAATTACCGCATCACAATCAAAAAGTTTCGCCTGCATGCCGATGCATGTAAGCGCGTCGTTCTGCTTTAATCGCATTAGATAAACAAAGATAAACCGATAAACTGTGGAGCTTGGGAACGAAAAAAGCTAATGCAACTGTATAACGTGCACTTGGTTCACCAAGAAATAAATCCTGGCTGCTTGGAGTTACGTCTTAGAAGCTTTTATCAAATTAAATAAAAAAGTGAAATATTTGGTTATAGTGTGGACCTATTGTAACGTGCGAAATACGTATTTCCTGCATTATTACTCATACTATGTCTAACTGCTATTTGCACGGCTAAAACTCAAGTTTAGCCTTAGACTTAGGTGCAACTTACGACTTTTCTTTCCACCACTGTTTAAGGTCAACCTCAAGTATAGTTAAGATGATCCGCAGATTTTATCCGCTAAGTTTCATTCTAATTTCACTTTTGGGTTTTGTTTGCTTGTTTTGACAGAATTCCGCTCGACAATAGAGTATCAGTGTCTTTTGATATTTTAATATAATCAGCCAAATGGAATAAATTCGACAATAAATAAATGGGGCACTTTTCGAAAAAACGCTCGGACACGTCGATTATGTTTTTTTACTTAAGATTTTTTCACACCAATTTTTCTATACAGGGTGTTCCAAGAACAGCTGTACGGTTATCAACTTCATTTTTTTTTTAAATGTTAGGGGAGAGTGGGGCAACTTCGACAGGCAGGGCAATTTTGTCACCGTACTTCACTCGGAATCGGTTGGATTCGGAAATTCCGAAACTGGCTTGAGGGTGCGTCGTACGTATCAGTTATTTGCTCCTTAGGTCTCGAGAAGCTAGCTACGGAATTTGTCGCGTAAAACTCAATTATTGAGTGTTTTAAATTTCTGATCCAAGGATTGGCTAAGCGTTCTATTTCGCAAGGTAATTTTTACAGAGTGACTTTGACCTATCTTTTGTAGAAATATTTGACAATAGGCGGTGAGAAAGGCTCCTGTTAGATGTTATTAAATATTTTACCAGAATCCGCTTGGGTAGGGCAACTACGCTAATCGTTATTTCGGCACTGGCTGGGTTCGGTAATTGCATCTGCGAGCAAAATGAGCAAAATTTGACAGATGTCGCGTGATTTAAATAAATAAATAAAAATGCCTTTATTTCCAGATTTGTTAAATTAAATTTACATACATTCATATATGAGTGGCGGTATCCAACCAAGTTGCTTCTATACAACCACCCCATCAACAAAATAGATAAATGTATCTTTTTACAAAAAAATAGTCTAACATAAAACAGTATACACTTCAAGGTTATTTCACATATTATGTATTCACGATCTCTTATTGCACATGTGCTTCTTCGATCCCCTCACAAAGGCTGAAACAATTGTTAGATTTATTAGTTCCTCTGGCAAACTATTGTAAATTCTAGCCGCATTGTAACTAAAAGATTTTTTAAAAGTAGCGGTACGATGCTTAGGAACTACCAATCTATTGTTATGTCTTGTATGCCTCCCATGAACTTCGCAAGATTTAGTTAGTTTGTTAGACAAGTATGATGGGAGTCCAAACAAGTTTATTTTGAATTTGACACGAGAAAAAAGATGTGATCACGTGACGTCCGTCAAAATTTGCTCTTTTTACTCGCAGATGCAATAACCGAACCCAACCATTGTCGAACTTGCCCCCCTCCCCCTAAAGTTTAAATTAATATTTTTGTTTCTAGGATGTTAATATGATGCATACGAAGAAGAGCAGTTACGAAGAGCTAATTTTTGCTGTGATGTATGTACAAAATAGAATTTATTTGTATCAAAATTATGTTGGCGAATTTGCCCCCTAGGTGAGGGCGAGTGCGTCATTTTTGACATTAATACAAAAAAAATTTTTTTTCAATTTATATGATATTGGTTTTAAATGCCTTTTATCTATTAAAGATATGTTATCACTATGTTTGAATAAAGTTGTGTTTATTTCTGTAAATACAAATCGTTTTTAAAATGTTGCAAACCTTAACATGTCGAAGTTGCCCCACTCTCCCCTATCCCCTGTATGTTATGACATGTCTGGATTCTGCGGAAAATTCTGGACATATATCATGTACAATGTCATATACCTATCTTCAACTGTTTCGGAAATATTGCCAGTTGAAAATTGACTTTTTCGCAACTTTGACAGGCTGTAAAACCTAAATGTTTAATTTCACAGCAAAACCGATATCACATTCTCGTCTGTAGTATTTCGTAAGCTATCATTTGACAGCAACTTTTAACCCCCTTTGTTAATGAATTATCGAGAGGCCCATAATATGCTCAGTTTTCTCAGCGAATAATTATTAGGGGTGGGTTGATAGTTTAATAAGTACAAAATGGCAAGGGCGCCACTGAATT